GAGCTGTGAGTATCAGACATGATTAGTGTAGAGTAGGATGATGTAGAGAGATTTTGTTAGAATAAGACATGATTAAGTGTAAAGAGACCATGAGTAGTGTAAGTAGACATGATGTCGTGTAGAATAGGACAATGATGTAGTAGTGATGATGCACTGCGAGGTGAGACGGAGAGATGTTACATAAGTAGAGTAGACATGTATGTATATATATATATGTATGTATTATAACTACATCATGTCTATTCTACACGACATCTCTCTACATCATGTCTACTCTACACTACATCATATCTACTCTACACTACATCATGTCTACTCTACACTACATCATGTCTACTCTACACTACATCATGTCTACTTTACACCTATTCCTTATATAACATCTCTGCATCTTGCCTCGCGGCGCATCAGCACTACTCTACATCATTCTCTAACATCTCTCCATTCCCCCTCCCATCCCAACGCAGGCTGCCAGCACACAGAAGAGTGAGATGGAGGAGCTAAAGAGACGTACAGCAGACGAGAACGTGAGCCTCGAGAAGCGCAAGGCGGCGATCGAACGCGAGCTCGCCGTCGTCAAGCCGACCGTCGACGAAGCCCTAGCAGCCGTCGGCAGCATCCGCTCCGAGGCGCTGTCAGAGATTCGCTCGCTGCGCGCGCCGCCGACGGTCATACGCGACATCCTAGAGGGCGTGCTGACGCTGCTAGGCATCTACGACACGTCGTGGGTCAGCATGAAGAGGTAGGTGGCGCCGCCGGTCACGCTGCGACGCGCATGGCGCCCTCTGGTCGTGCAGTCGGTTAATCGCATAGTGGGTGGCTTAGGACGGAGGCGGTATCATAATCGAATGATGAATAATGAATCTGTTTCTCGTCTGCAGCTTCCTTGCGAAGAGAGGAGTGAAGGATGAGATTGTGTCGTTCGACGCGAGCCGGGTTACGCCGGAGTCCCGCCGCGCTGTGGAGGAGCTTCTCAAGCGCAGCGGGGCCTCCTTCGAGGAAGTGGTGAGTCACCTCCCCCGTGCCCCTCCCTCGTACCTCCTCGTGCTCCTCCTTCGAGGAAGTGGTGAGTCACCTCCCCCGTGCCCCTCCCTCGTACCTCCTCGTGCTCCTCCTTCGAGGAAGTGGTGAGTCACCTCCCCCGTGCCCCTCCCTCGTACCTCCTCGTGCTCCTCCTTCCCTCCGTACCCCTTCTTTCTCGTGCTCCACTTCCCTTTCAGGAAGCCATAGGCGAGTCACCTCCTCTTCCTCTCCGTGTGCCCTCTCCTCTCCTCCCTCACTATCGCAACATCTGTCTCCCGCTCCTTCTCCCCCTCACTCGTCCTCACGTCCCTCTCTCTCTTCCTCCCGCATGCCCCTCTCTTCTACTTGACCGAAACATCGATCAAAGCGCAGGTTTCGGAAAAGGGGGGAAAAAAAAATCAAAAAAAGAAACACGCTGCCGTCACGCCCCCTCCTGCTCTCCCGTCCTCCCACTAACTCGTCTCGTGGCCCCCTTCTGTGTCCGTCCTGCGGTTAGCCGCGACCGTAGCCTCGAGGCTGATGCCGCATCCAGAAAATCTGCTGCTGCTAAGAGATTTGTGACAACATTGTGCAGGTGCAAACGTGGCGCCAAAGCATCGAGACTTGAGTACAACTGGATTGTCGTAACTAAAGACTATGTATCTGTCTCTGGAGGAAAAGAGTCGTATGTCGTCTGATGGCCACCCGATTGCTGCGCATGTGCTGCACACAGTAGTGCTCAACGACGAGATTCGATATCTCTCATCGATGGTCTATCGTTTAAGCCGTTGTCGTGTGTGTGTGTTCCGCATCTGTTATTGAAACGGAGACTGCATCATAACATGCTCTTATATGTATTATGACATGGTTATAGGACGCTAGATTTGAGCATGATGATCCGCAATATTGTATTATGACATGTAATGTTAATTGCGGACGTAAGATGTATATATGTTATTGGGGAGACGTGGAAGTGACAATTAAATGCTTTATATGTAATATGATCAATATGTTATTCGGAGCGTAGAAGTGCACATGATTATATGTAGTTATGTGACATAATGTTCATAGAGCGAGTGTGATTCGTAGATGACATTAATGTTAATATGTTATTAATCTACATATGTTATTGGTACCTAGAATGACATATATGTGTATAACATATTAAGACATAATGTTATTAGACGTGATTTGGACATCTATGTTATATGGTATTATGACCATTATGGTTATTGGATCGTAGATCGACATTTATGATTATAATGTAATTTATGACATATGTCTATTGGACGCATAGATGACATTATGTTATAAAGTATTATTGACATTGAGTGTTATTGGACGTAGATGAGACAATTATTGTTATATTCGTAGGTGGCATCTAACACTCAGTGCTTAATTGAACGCTAGCATGACATTATATTGTATTATGTTATGTATTTACACTTGACATAATTGTATTTGAGGAACGTCAGGTGACATTATGTTATAGTGTATTATGTTAACATAGGTGTTCGGTTTTTGACGTCACGATGACATTATGTTAATATGTATCATGACGAATAAGGATTAATTTCGACTTAGAGTGACATTATGCTGTGAGTGAGTGTATTTATGGACATACACCTGTATGAGATCTGGACGTAGATGATCTATGTATTGATGTATATAATGTTATATAAATATGACATATTGTGTAAAATAGAAAAACTATATGATGGCATAAATTATGTTATATGTATTAGACATATGTTATTGGACAGTTAGAATGACATTATGCTCACTATTGATATTAAGAAATAAATGTTACTTGCGATATCGTTAGCGGGACGCACATTATGTTATATATTATACATTATGTTGATTGGACGTAAAAGATGACATTAATGTGTGAGTATAGGACGTAAGGTACATTATGTTGAGATATGGATATGTAATGGACATACAAGTCGTATACTTGTATCAGAGATCTACACGTTAGCGGTGACATCATGTTATATGTAACATTGAAAGACTCGAGTGAGACATGTTATTGAGCGGACAGTAGATGACATTATGTTATATGTTAGATACCATGCACACACGAGTAATATGTTGACTCTGGACGTATGAATCTACATCATAGTCTATATGTAGTTATTAATGACATATGTTTATTGAACGTAGGATGACATTTATGCATTAGTATATAGATTATGACCACATCATGTTATCTGTGACGTAGATGACATTATGTTATACTGTATTATGACAAAATGTTAATTGGACGTGAGAGTGACTACTTATAGTTATATGTGTATTTGACAATAACGTTATTGGAGCACGGTAGAATTGAACTACTATGATGTTTAAGCGTATGTACTTCTATGACTACTAGAGTAATGAGTTATAATATGGGACTCTAGATGACATTATATTGAGGTATCGTGGTATTGATGATCATATGTTTTATTAGGTGACGTAGAATGACATTATGTTGATAAATGGTATTTATGACTAGTCACGTAGTTATTCGGAGACGTAAGATGGACATTATGTTGAGTACTGCTATGTGTTAATGACATATTTATTGAGCGGACGTAGATGAACAGGTTATGTTAGTAGTGATATTATGGAGGAGTATGTTTTATGGCAACGTAGATGACAATGATGTTATATGGGAAATCTAATGTTAATGACATATTTCTTGGACGGCGTAGCACTGACACTTATGTTATAATCGTTATGTACTGTGATGACAAATCGTTAAGTGGAATATACCGGTAGCATGACATCATATTTTATACTGCCATGTATTATGACAATATGTCCTAGTTGGACGTAGATGACATTATGTATTATATGTATTTAGACATGAACATTATTAGGTATTATTAGAGGACGAGGGATGAACATGGTATGTTAGTGAGTGTAGATTTATGACAAATTTATTGGACGTAGATGAAACATTATAAGGTTTTCTTGTTATATGTATTATTCATATGTTGATTGGATCAACGTAGATCGAACATTATGTTATAATGTATTATTGACACTAGTGTTAGTTTTGGAACGTAACATCGAGCATATGTTAATTGGACTTAAGAATGACATTATGTTATATGGTATTTGACAATATGTTATGATGATCTATTATGCGTTATATGTTAATTAACAACGATAAGTGTTTATTGGGAGCGTAGATGACAACATATGTTATTGGACGTAGATGACATTATGTTATATGTATTATGACATACGTTATTGGACGTAGATGACATTATGTTATATGTATTATGACATATGTTATATGTATTATGACATAGGTGGTATGATTCGCGAGCGAGATGACGATTATGTTATATGTATTATAGAACATATGTTATATGTATTATGAACATAGTGTTATTTACGTGAGCATAGGACATTATGTTATTAGCGGAGTGTAATTGATGACATATGTTAATATGTATTCATGTACATATAGTTATTCAGGGCGGTAAGATCTAAAATTATAGTTAGTGAATGTAGAGTCAATGACTATGACTGTTACATCATTATTGTACATGACATATGTATATGTATTATGACATATGTGTATATGTATTTAATGATCATAAATCTTATGTGGACGGTAAGGTGAGCATTATGTCACAGGCAATTAGTATGAATAGTGTTATATGTATTAATGAACATATGTTGAGTATGAATGGACATATAAACTGGTGTCATTACAATGTATGGTATCATATGGTTATTGGACCCGCTAGATGACATTCGACTACCGAATCGTTGCGTATGACATGTGCATGTGACGATGCGCCCTTTTTTCGATTTGCAGGTGCGCCAAAGAGGGCGTCGACGGCAGCAGCGCCACTAGCCGCGTGGGTAAAGGCTAACGTGAAGTACTCCTACGTCCTGGAAAAGATATCGCCATTGACAACAGAACAGAAGAAACTGCAGAAGTATGCAATCGCTGAGGGTTGTAGTTAGTGGGGGGAGGGGGGGAGGGGGGCGGTTGCCCCTGCCACCTTAGCAGTGGCTCTTTATCCACTCCTGCAACAGAAAATGCTGAAAACATACAAATGTAGTGTTTATGTACATGTGACTCTCTCACTCTCACTTCTTTCTTCTCGCTTCTTCTCTCGCTTATTCCTATTTGTTTATTTGTCCTTTTCCCACTGACTCCGCTTTGCTTATTTCCTCTTTTCTCACTTATTTGCTTTCTTCTCGCTCGTTCCTCACTGATATGAAACCCGTCGAAGCATTTTCACCGACAGATGCAGTCTCTCATTCGTCGCTAATAATGACTGTCGAAATGATGTCAAAGTGTACCTTAATCACTTTACAGAATATGCTGAAGTTTTTTTTGTAACAATTTTTTCTTCATGTTTTGTAATGTTTATTAATAGCAATGTTTTGTAGTGTATCACTCAGAAATTTTATCATCTTAACTGCTCAACACGATTTCATTTATCCAATTTTTTCTCCATGAAAAACACTGTCGTGAGTACATATGCTTGTATTTGAATTACATGCAGTAAAGATTTAATAATAATAATGGAAATTCTCGCAGGAACCTGTCCAAGGCCGAGTCTCAGATGCAGGACCTGAGCAAGGGCCTCTCCAAGGTCGACCAGAAGGTCGAGAAGCTGCGACAGAAGTTTGAGAAGTTCACGAAGGAGGCGGCGGCGATAAAGATCAACCTTGATCGCGAGAACGAGACGCTGGAGGCGGCAGGCAACCTCGTCGGCAAACTGGAGGGAGAGTTTCATCGCTGGAGCAAGCAGGTGAGGTGGGGGAGGCGGTGGGAGGTGGGAGAGCTAGGTGAGGTGAGAGGTGGGGTGGGAGGGGGGGTGGGGGAGGTGGGAGGGGAGGG